CCAGCTGGCAGGAGGCTGGCAGGGTGTGGGAATGGGGATGGGGGGTCAGCCTGCCAGCTCGAGGCTGTTCTGATCCAACTCTGTGCTGAGGAGGTGCTGGCTGGGGCACAAGGGTGCTCCAGTGTGGGGCTAGCTGGCAGGCAGCCCTGCACTGTAGCACCCTCATGCCCCAGCCAGCCCCAGTCACCATCTACATGTGCACTGCAGCAGCGTAAATAACTCCACCATAGAACAGTACTTGTTTCAGGCAGCACTATCTTATTGCAGAGTTAATTAGTTTGCTCTGGCCTAATAGCACCACTCGTGTAGATGGTGAAGCTTTACTGCGGAGCTAATTAGGCAACTCCACAGTAAGTATCTCATGTAGATGCACTCACTGTGTGTGCATCTAAACTGCAAAGGGAAATGCACTGCTACCAAGAGAAAGCCATGATTCAATCTGCATGTTTAAATTGGCCTATTTAGTTAAATTACACTTATTTGGGACAAAACTATTTTGGATGTGTTTGACACACATCTGGCTAAGAGACAGCAAACAAAGCAGGTATTTTATTACCTGATTTCTTGGAACAATTCAAAGCATTCTGACCAATTTGAACTCAGCATAAAAACCACCATTTGCTAAGCAAAAGTCCCTAAAGTCAAAACAGAAAGCTTTTTCGATACTCCCCACCAGGGACTGCCCCCTCATCTTCACGAAATCCACACTATTGGTCTGTTGGTTAATGACACCCAGACCAAGTAATAACAAACTAATGCCCTCATATTAGTCTAGTTCATGTCAGAAGGATCAGGTACTAAATAATGATAGACTTATGTGAACAGTCTTCTTAAATGACATGCTTTCCTGCAACAGGCCTGTGCTCTGTATCAGTGATGTGGAGTTATCAACATACTTAAGACTCAAACATACACTATTTCATACTTATCGAACTTGCTAAACAATCCTGAGGGACAGGAAGACAAAAATTCACAGCTACTCATAGTAACTTCTTACAAGAACATGTGCTGAAATGCAACAGGTATTTTGGAAAGTCTCTGAATTTGACAGGAGGCATCAGAATAGAGCTGTTGCCTTACAGTGCACACAAGTGAACTTGTATAAGTTGGGAGATGGACACAAGATGACCAACAAAAATGAATATAACTGAATGTCAGGGTGCAGCTGTTCACTTTCTCCATGAATGCTACACAACTAAGAAAAGGGATATAAGCCCATTCATTGACCACAATTAAGTTTAGAGCCCTTCAAAGTAGTTTAGAGCAGAACAAAGACATTGCCTATGCTCTTTGTGCCTGAGAAACACTTGACTCAGTGGGACAAAAAGCCAGTTGCAAGAGCATAGTCTATTGACCACAGTTGGCCCATGGTCAACAAGAGAGAATCTTGAGAAGGCTGCCAAGAGGGTCAGCATCATGCCATCCCTTAACTGCACTTGAGAACGTGAGAGGACATGACTTCTCCTTGCATGCCCAATGATAGGAGGCTGTCATAGCCCAGCATCTGAGATTTGTCCACATTTTGTTGAATTATGTGTCTTTTGAATCATGACTGAGCTCCAAAAAAGTCAGCATAGAAAAAGCTCCACTGAGCCTTCATGTTAATAACTGGAGAATTTGAAATTTAGTCAAAAAGTACAAACAACAATTAGAGCTTTAAATAATGAATGGGGTAGGGGGGAAAGACTTCCAGATTCCTAAATGTAATTACAGTGTGGACCTCATGGGTGCAAATCAAAGACAAAAAATTTCATGATATATTTTTGTTTATTATTGCTCTCAGAGGGCTTGGTAGTCAAATATACAAGCTATATTCTATTAAACCAGAAGAGTGTAAGATATAAAATCTATGCTCACTTTTCCAATTCAAGCCACCTGCTACTCTTCATTAGACACATTTACTGCAGCTATTTCCAGTCATGTTAATTTATACACATTCTGTATATTTAGATATAGATATATAAAAAACTTACTTGAAGAAACGAAGAAAGTTCAATGAAAGATTAGGTTTTTTGCATGATTTTGTGTCCTGCTCTGTGCACTGCTGTACATTTCAGTTTTCCAAATTGTTACCGTTATGTCTGCTTAGAAGACCCAAAATTTTGTAAACAATAATATTTTTATTATACTTTCAAAACAAAAGCATGGCCAATATGTTATGATAATAAAAAAGGAAACACATGAAACATGCCTATTCTCCCCTTGATGTACATGCACTAATCCCATTGGATCTAACTTGGAATTATATGCACTAAGAGGAGACAAGTCCCCCAATACAGAGAAGGGAATTTTAACTTTTCCTCCTTTAGACTGCATCTCCTGCCTTGGCCCCCACCTCCCCCTCAAAAAATTAAGAAAGGGAATTACGTTAGGTTCTGCTCATGGGTACCTGAAAAACATAGCCAGTGGTCTTTCTGCTTTGCAAGCCCTACTTTGCTCATTACCAAGCAACTGCAATTTAAATATGCTCAGTAGCATCTTCAGAAAGCAAGTGTACAGCATCTGTAAAATCTTCCTAACAAGCAAAAGTTACAGCTGTTACCCAATTACCTAAAATAATAATAGCAAGTCACCCTGTTTTGGTCCTCTGGTCAGAAAACATCAAATAAAACCAGAGACTTCTGTTTATTAGCATTCAGAGTTCTAATTTTGTTTAAAAAGTGAGTGCACAAAGTGCCCAATACAAAAGAAAACCCCATCCTCCATCCCCAAATCATAGCTGGTTTCTGCCTCTTTGAAGCACATGTTCACTTTCCTTGCCACTAATAAGAGTTGTGCACCATTACTTCAGGGCAGACTTATTTGCTTTGGAAGCATAACATACTAACACCAGCACTGCCAGTGCAGTGCTGAACTTGGTTGGATAAAAGACCCTGCAAAAATCATCTCATTAAGAGACCCCCAAATGGACAGTCAGGTGCATGACAGGAGTGATAACTGATCCCCCCCAACAAATAAACAACTTTTCTAAGCTAGGAAATCACTTGTGTAAAGCTTGAAGCTAAAAAAAAAATCCTTGTAAGCAAATCCCTGTGGGAGAAGAGGTTCAGCTGTTAGAAAATGTGAAAGGGGTAAAATAGCACCTGTCTTTTACCCTTGGCTACTGAGCAAAGGAAAAAAACCCAGCACTTTAATGAGACCCAGTCTTTACAAAAGTAAGAGAAACTTTCAAACAGAGCTTGGGGTATGAGGAGAGCAAATGTCACACTCACGGACCTTCAGGACCATCTTCTGCCCTCATTTATACCTGGAAGGGATTCCCGCTGACTTTACTGGAGTTCAGCCAAGGGCAGAACTTGACCTTCAGACTTGAAAATATACGCAAAGGTTTCCACATATTTATGAATGGCCACAAGGTTGCACGCACAGCAGCAGCCTACAAGACCCCAGGATGTGCATTTGGACAAAGGTAAGTAACAGCCAAAGTTCTGATCTTTAGGTGTCAGCAGTAAGTGATCATAATTGGAGATACTAAAAATTCCTGAAGATACCCAAAACTCACTCTAGTGGTTTTCAGTTCTAACAGCATAGCTCACCCAACAAATACTTCACAGTGTTTCCTAACAAAGTCAGCTAAGAAACACAACACAGACCACCATACAGTTAGCACATATAAGGTGAAATCCTGGCCCTGCTAAAAAAAATGGCAGAAACTGCCATTAAATTCAGAATGGCTGGGATTTGTATCCTGATTGCTGCAGACCCTTCCTTTTCAAGCTGTTACAAAAAGAAAGGAAAGGCCTTTTCAAGGTTGCTCCACAGTTTATGCTGGTTATCTCCTGCAACAGTCTCCTGAGAAAAAACAGTGAAATAGGAATTCAGTGGTGATAAAACACAAACAGAAATAAGGAGGACCTTAGGACAACTAAGTTAATAGCTTCCTTAGCACAGGTCCAAATCGCAGGGTAACAATTCACTTGAAAACAAAAAGCAAACAAACAGAAAACCAAAACAAGATCTGAGGCATAAATATATGCAAAGTGTGAAACAGGGCAAACCATGCTCAAGAACACAAGTAGTATGTTGGGCATTATGGAGTTCTGTGCAACAGGTAGCGTGATGCTGGGGGAAGATTTAAATTGTATTAATACTAGTTAATTTGATCTACAGTGTGTGCTTATCAATAAAGTACAGTTCTCATCAAAATTCCATTATCTGTTTTCATGTGGTACAGACATTAAAAGATGTTGCCTGAAAATAAAAAGCACCTTCAGTAAAACATATACAAATGGGATTTTGTCTGTAGTCATAAAGAAATGGCTTTTCCAGTGGCTTTCACCTAAGAAAGAGCCATCAATTAATTTACAATGGGTTGTCTTTTCTGGATTATCCTCACCATTAAAAAAGAAGAGATGTTGGAAAAAAATAACAACTATTAAATTGGCTATAGCAAGAGGAAACGTTCAACGGCTCCTGTTGCCAAGTGAGTGAGATAGATCATCTGAAGAAGCATGTGGTAGCATCCAATATGCACCCCCAAACACAGACAAAGCAAGGTTATCATTTTTTTAGCCCAGATTTTCTGTCAAAGTTTGAATACAATGCTCCTTAAACAGGCAGAAAAGTTGATGTTTTCTCTTCTCTTGATTCTTCCATTTTTTTTTCACTCTTGGCTCAAGTTTTATTCATTAATATTAGTCACCACTTACTAAGGAAAAAAAAAGATAGTTTCTAAGTGTTTTTTTTTTTTAATGAAGTTAATTTGATACCATAGTCTGGCTATATGTGCTGAGCTGCAGCTGTCAGTTATTCCTTTTTCTTGAATTCTTGGTTGCCATAACTGGAGCCTTTTTCTATTTCAGTTACTCCTATCAGTCTACGAACTCCAAAGGAAGCTTTAAAACATAATAAAAGAAACAGGAGGTGTATTACAGCTGATTTAACAATGAAAAAATTTACACACATGTGCACACAGAGCAGATTAGGTTGCATGCAGGACTTTCAGATATTGAAGACAACAAATTCAGAAGTCAGTGGTGTCTACTAACAATATGTAGCTTTACCCCATGCCTGCAGCATCCCCTTACTGAAACTGTGAACCAATTACATGTGCTAAAGATCATTAAAACCACAGGCCAGACCAGATTAAAAAAATTAAAATGTAATCAACACTTATTTGTTAGAAGAAACTGTCCTGTCAGCCTCAAAGTTGAGGTAATCAGTTAACCACAGAAAATATGCAGTCAGGACTAGCAACAGCAATGCAAACTCCGTGGCACTGCTCTGACAATGTGTAACTGCCCTCATAAAGGGGCAATTATGTGAATATTAGTACATTATAAATATAAAGAGTACTTCAAAAATAAAGAGACAAAATTGCCTGGATTTAAGTTGCGTGTACAATGCTATGCACAAAAAAAGAAAAACAAATCAACCTGGGAACTGGCTCTGAATATCAACCCAGAACACATTTCTGTAAATCCCATGGATAACAATTTCACTCGGAATATATTTAGCTAACGACCTGCATTATGTCTTATCGTGTTTTGGCATCCTCTCAACATCCATTACCTGCTCCAACAAATCCCAAGAACGCAAGGATAAGAAGGGGTGATCCACTTGCAAAAATTCCAAAAGCAAATGTGAAGAGAGGAGAGAGGAGGACCGTAGCCCAGAAGAGAAAGTTTAGAAGTGTCCATGGTCTTCTAGGAGGTTTAAACTGTTGGCCAGGAAAAATGCCTTCTTGATTATACATCTCTTGTAAAGCATCCTGGAAGGAAAATTAAAAAAAAAATTATTCAAGAAATAAATGCAGCAAAAAACAAAAACCCAGCACCATGAGCTTCTTCTGCCACATACCCAGCTGCTTGCTGTCATTTTCTTCATAATTCAGGGAAGACCTAGCCCCAAAGATCTTCTCAGAACTAATTCCCACCTGTATATTTGTGGCTGCTCACTGGCTCTTCCTTTCTGTGAAAATAATCGTATGGAGACCCAAATAATCTAATCAGAATTGCAGAAGTGCTCCATGTGGAGCCTGTGGAAGACCAAGCACAAGCAAACCACCAAGGTTGAAAAGTTCCTATAAAATGAAGATATTGAGGCTCATTTTGCACTCAAAAGATTAAACGCTGAAGCCACAGCCATGGCAACAAAAAGCCCAGGATGAGTTCTTGGAAAAGTGTAGTACTGAGAACCATCAACTAAATTATATCTTACCTTTAAAACAAGGATTGATAAGCTGCACAGGAGTATCAAAAATGGTTATTTAACTAGCTGTTGTTTTTGCCTTTGTTTCTAAGAAACAACAAGATCAAGGCATTCCCTCTAAGTAATAATCCTTTTGGGGGAACATACTTCTTGTTCAAAATGAACACTTTAGAGATTCCAGTTACAGCAGATTCTTGTCACCCACTGAGGTCAATTTGTGCAAAGAGACTCAAACAACGTTTGACTGTTTGACTCTAGAGCTGAATGGAACTACAGCCAACATAAGCAAGAAATATCACATTCTCTACTACAACTACAGCATTTCAAAGAACAGAGCCAAGTGAAATAGCATGCGGTAGGCTGTGGCTGCTTAATTTTATAATACACCAAGAAGAGAGGCACAGACAAGAAAGCAAAACTAAAAAAGTGCATCAACATCCATTTACCAAACCAGGCCATTTCATGAGGGATGATCACATACAAGTGTGTCCTCATATCAGCTGACTTTTCAATATGACACTTTTACCACAGAGGTCAGGAGGAGGGGAAAGACTACTCGTATTGTTTGTAAACAACCCCACCCTCCCAAAATTTATTTTAGATCCTAAATACTCAAAACACATCCGTTTAAAAGAAAAAATGAACCATGGAAGGAGACCTCCAAGAACCTTAAGAACAATTTGGTGTCTACCTACAGATTAAGTGTAGTTTTGGAAATGTTGCAGTACAGGTCACACCAAAGCAGAAGAAAGCTAGGAGTGCCAGGGTTTCTGTGCTCCTCTACGTTCCACAACACAAGCAGCACAAAAATCAAGATATGTATTTCAAAACAGAGGAACTTAAGTATGCCAGTCCAATCTGTATAAGGGCTGGGCAATGCTACAAAGGCATGCAGTAAGGCAGTGGCCCTGGATTTTAGGAGGGCAAATTTCAACAAGCTAAGGAGGATAGCTGGGGAAGCACTGAGGTCCCAGAGGGGAGGGGAGACAGGTGTCCAAGGAGAGTGGTTGCTCCTCAAGGAGATGATCCTCCAAGCCCAAAGGAAGGTAATCCCAACGAGGATCAAAGGGAGCAGAAGGGCGCATAAGCCCCCATGGCTCACCAAAAGCATCCGGGAATGTCTCCTTGCTAAAAAGGTGGC